ACTTATGTATAGACGTCTCAATACCACAATAAATTTAATTTAAAATAAAGTTTTAAAAGTTTTTTCAAACAGTATTAACATGATTCTGATTACGCTTTTTTTTTACAGGCTCGGAAGATCGAGGAACATAAGAGAAAGAAGGAACGTAAGGTTCAAGAGAAATTGGAGCGCGATAGACAAGAGAGACTGAGAAAAGCTCGGGAAAGTGCAAAGGCTTACGAAGAGAATACCCGCACTTCGCAAACCGATGCTAGCGGCGATTCCACTGGAATGTATAATGTCTACAAATTCCTTAACGATCCAGACGTACTTCAAGCCTTCCAGGTAATTACCCATTAATTAACTCGTGTATAACTGTTACAAATAAAGTTACATTTAGATTATAGACTTTTATTGAGAATCAAACTCTATTAGTATTAATATGAAAACGTAGGAATTATCTTTCTTTTGAACATAATCATATGTGTCTTGTTTCTAATATTTGCATGTCTTTTATTACATGTATTTTTTTATATCTCATACGTATAAAATTTGCTTATAAATCCACAGCTTAATTATCTGTAATATGTATACAACAAAAATTGTTGGGTAATTGTTGCAGGACCCGGAAGTGGCCGAAGCGTTCAAAGAAATCTCCACGAACCCAGCGAATATTATGAAGTACCAAAGCAACCCGAAGATTATGGCGTTTATTAATAAAATGGCATCAAAGTTCGGAGGCGTTGGTGGAATGCCTGGTGGTTTCCCCGGTATGATGGGTGGCATGCCCGGCTTCCCGGGTGCCGCTAAACCGGAACCTCCGAAACCGAACTCGCAGGACGACGTTGGTCTCGATTAAATCTGAAATTGAAATCGTTCGCGGAATTCCTTCTCGGTTCATTCTCGTACATCTCCGGATAATTGATCTAACACTATCGTTAACTGAAACTACATGATGTCTTACGGAAGAGAAAAAGATGTTACAATAACGGAACAACTCGTGCTGAAACGTAGAAAGAAATTATTTTCGTTATCATATAAATGATATTTTGATGATAGTTTATTATTTATTTCTGGATCGTCTCTTGACAGACGTATAATTATATGAAACTCCTAGATCGTCTTTTAAAAATATGATTCTATATTTTAAATAATGGAGTATGCCGACACTTATTGTTCCACTAACGTCCAACTGAATTAACATATTCTACTTGTCTGCGGACATATCGGTTTTCATATTTGGCAGTTCGATTCTTTTTAAGGCACATAGCGTTTAATTATTCAGTGAGAAGGAATTAGTTCCCTCATCTTCTAATTGTGAGAACATTCTATAACTGATCTTCTTTCGTTGCTTACTGAATGCTAAGAAATTCTGAAATACTGATATTACAGTTCACTTTTATTAGGGTAACACTTCTTTTTAGTTTTATTTGATACGTTAATCAACTACTTATAATAAACTATCCGTTTTGTCTTCATTACTTAAGATTAGAGGTTTACTTTATCTACGTTAAGCGTTTTACGAACTCACACACATTATTCGTTCTAATAAGCTTTGCTCGACTCGTTCGAGAGAGGACATAAAACCTCACACAATGCAATCGTTAACAGAATAAAGAATATTTTATTAATTTTGTTCCATTCAACAAATACATTATATTTAAAACTACCAGTATAAAACATAATTATAAATCTTATCACAATGTATATAAAATTTGCGATAAGAAAAAGATGAAAAGATGTTACTTTCCAAGACTATTAATTTTGAAAAGCTTTAGTAGTATCAGCAAGAAACATATTTTATTGTATTTTGACGAACATCAAACAGGTAATACGAGTTGAGTAGCCAACGAATGGTATGTATGCCCCTTCGAATGTATCTCTGCCATACGATGTACCGAGTTCAATACTATATAAATGTTAACGGTTCTCATTCGCTACAAATAAATATATACAACAAACGTCGAGACTTAATACTTGTAACATAAAATTCGATAAAATAAAAAACAAAACTAAGAGCTGCGTCAACGATTCAAGTAAAGTGTGACGCAGTCCCGATGGCTAGTGGAAACGCAATATTTCGCATGACTTGCACAATAAATAAATTTCTATGCATTAATGCTTATGAACGATAATATTGTATGTGACATGAAAAGGTACTGCACTCTTAAATGATTTTTACTGGCCTTCGTCAGCATTGTAATAGGAAGCGATACTTAGCGTCTTCAAGGTCAACTAACTCTCCCCACTATTCGACCTACGCTTTCACTAATTATTGTCGATTCACTTTCTCGATATCTTTCGATCTCGCTGCTTCTGTTTTTCATGAGAAAATCTCCATGGAAAATGAATTAAAGACGATGCCTGCACAGGCATACTTTATACATTTATGGATTTAAGTACTTATAAATAAGAAATATAAACAGATATTCAATTTATTCGAATAGAAATCGTATTCTATATTCTTGTGTTCGTATACACATTATAAATACGTTAGATCCTTTACAATCTAAATACGGTATCTTATAAAAAATCTAATCGAACGTTCACAATTGGACGGAAGAACGGATATCGTGACCTGAGAAACGACAAAGCTACGACTTCCTGTTAGAGGATAGAATAGACAATGCTTCATCGTTGTAATCAGAGCTGAGCTAACTTAGTAACATAAACATTTTATTTATTAGAAGAAACACTATCCGATGCCCTACTCTTACAGTACTTAGTAACTGAAGAATACAATACTTTGCTATTAACGAAATGGTCGATCAACTTGTTAAATAATCTAATTCTTGCAATCCAGGTGTGTGCGTCGTGTTTTGTGGTGCTAGGTTCTCCTGATTTTGAGCATGTGCAAGTTCGGATGCCATGGCACTTTCCTGAACGTCGACGTATTCGTCTCGTCGTGAGGCGGTGCCTTGTCATCGGCCCCGGATCCCTCCTCGATCAACCTGAGTCCGGTGATACCCGTATCGTAGCTGAACATCCTGCGATGCCGCTTTGCGTTTTGTTCACCGACATTCCAATCCCGCGCACCCGGATCACTGACCACGCGTCGGTGCCTCCTGTGGTGACGGTGATGATGGTGATGCCGACGATGAGGATAATGATGATGATGATGATGATGATGGTGATGATGATGACGTTGAAGAAGTTCGGATGATCGGATCGCCTGCTCCGAATTCTGCGGATCGACTGTCGACGTGGCGACGCAGAGCAAAGAATTCGGATCGAAATAGAGCCGATTGTCGACAAAAGGAACGAAATTCGACGAACTCGTGATCCACGAATTCGGACCGAACGGTGTCTTTGGGGTTGTGTCGATCGTGGAGGACCATTCGTTGTCCTCGCCTAGATCGATGGTCACTTTTCGGCAGTAAGAGCGGTGCCTTCTCGGCTTCAACCTATAAAAAAAAGTAATCTTGTGAAGTGAAATATGGTAGAAAGAGGAAAATACAAAAATGGGATGAGTTTACGAACCTAGAGGAACATGGGTGTAGCGTTCTGTGTCGTCAGTTGAGCGGATGCTCGCCCCTGGGCATCCTATAGCACTTGTTCCACGCCTCCAGTAGCAGTACGCAACTGTGAAACCGGTAGAATATCAACAGTGGTAAACCTATTCTAGATATCACGCCCCAGGCTAGAACGCCGAAGAATCTCAGTTGAAGCTCTTGCGAAAACCAATTCTGGGTGATCGTGGTATCAAATGCCCACAGGACTGAATTGCTGAACAGCAAGAACGTGATCACCTGTCTGGCCGGTTTCGCTATTATTTGAAAACGTGTTATGCACTCTCTCTTGGACGCCTCGGCTATCAGAGTGCTTTGAGCGAAGCATTGGATCAATTGTAGAATCGATGCGGTTAAAAGCATTACATGTCTACCGCGCGTCTCCTCGCTCTCGTCCTCTAAGATTGCCAAGGAACAAGCACAGACCACAATTGTGAAGACAGAGTACAGTTGCACACCGAACAGAGCGACGTTCGACAGCAAAGTATCCAGCGTGGCCGGTGGTCTGGACACGATGGACATCTGACGTACTTGAACCAAACCGCTGGCCGTCATTAGGGTACTCAACGCCAGGATGCTGGTCAGGGTGCCGCAAGTTAACCAAGACAGGGTCGTCGGAGGAAAATGCTCGTCCTCCTTCACGACCAGGAATATTAATATTACCACTATACCGGCAACCATGCACAGCATGCCGAGGAATAGACCTTTGCTGGAGCCGTCGCACCCAACATTCATGTGACTCGTCAGATCTTTGTTGCTATGGTACTTTGGCTTGTGTGGTAGTCGATTGCGGCCGACGTTCTGGCCCATCACAAAAGTTACCGCCGCGGCGATTAAACTGCACATTTATTTGTTGTCATTTAAATATAGTAAATAGTTGTGGATATTATAACGTTTAAATGGATTAGTATATGTACCTAAATTGTACGATAAAGGGATATAAAACTGGCATTGTCGATGTCCACAGTTGGCCGAGAGTGTTAGTATTCAAACATTCCTGCAAGCTGATCACTTGTGATATTTGCTCGTTCGAGATTGGCTGATACGGTACAACAACTTCTTTCTCTACCGCAGAATGATCTGAAATAAAATGAATAATGACATTTCAAATAATTCGTGTCGCATACACATTCTCAAACAAAATAAAATGTACCTATTGAATCTTTATGCCTAATGAGGGACTCCGGGAATCCGCGAAGATTCAATGGAGAAGCCGAATTGTGAAGTCCCCGCTGCGCCAAATGAACGAAGTACGTCCATTCTTGCGCCGAATCCCAGATCACTAACCGAATCCAGATTGCAATATTCGTGGCAGCTAAATGAATGAACCCAAACCTCGCTGCTAATCCAAATCTCTCCACAAGGACCTGCGAGCATACACAGTAAACTTCATATTTAATTCCACTTTCACCACGTGATTTTGCAAGTTAATGACAAAAATTGAAGAGCAAGGAAAGTTGTGGACATGAATCATTTTTAGAAACTGTATACATTCGAATGTGGCAAAAGTAAACACCTTTGCATTTTCGAAAAGAAAGTGAAACAAGTAAATGTAACGCGCTAATACGTGTTAGTTCAGCTAGAAAATCAAAACGGATAAAAGTAGCAAGAAATAAGAATTACTAAAAGTGAATAACAATTGATTTCGCACCAAAATGATAAGTTCATTTTAATCAATTAATTTTGCATAATGATTAATTTAATATTTGCTCACCTGCGAATTGACAAATAAGAAATGCATCTGGAGAAACGTGAACAGGCCATGAAGCACCGGATGCACGAAGACGATATCGCTCAAGCACTCGGTGCCCTTCATCATCGAATGCATAGCCATTTCTAAACCACTGAAGACGAGAGTCGCCAAACCGAAAACTGTTTCATCGATCACATTTATTATTTAACACCAGTCCGTTGCATTATTGTAATTGAAATTGAATTTATTAGTGAAGAAACTCACGCAACGCTCCAACCCGAATATAGAAACTCGTCGGTGCCGTCCTAGAACGCGAGATATGAGCACGTTTCAGTGATCCGAATCTCGTTAAGGACGCGCCGCCGAGTTCCACGTCTTCGACGCCAGCCGCACTGGTGCTCAGACCCTTGCAACTGTCCACTAACACCCAGATATAGATACTGATGATCACCGCTATGCTGCCCACATACAGGTAGGTCAGGAACACGCCCTGCGAACAAAGTTAGATTGCACCCTTCATAAAAAATTTTATGGCTAAGTAGAAAATTTTCTACAATTCAGAGAATCTTCGTATAAATCTTTTGTATGAAGATACAGAAAAATGAAATGAAATGTAAGCAGTTGCGGTCAGAAATAAATAAACGTGAAGTCATTCGATGTAACGAGGGTATACTAAAGTAATTTCGAAAGTTACTATTAAATGGGAATTAAAATCTTAAGTAATAATCTGTTATTTCAGGCACCGTTAATTAAAGCCTACTTGAATTCTATTAACGTGTCGTAAAAGCATATTCCATTAACTGTACCATAAAAACAACCCTACATAAATGTTTAGAGATTAGATGCATTCGACAGTAAAACGAGGATTGTCAATTTAAAGAGCTGACCACAAGATATGCAATTATCTGTGAATATCTCTGGAAACTTGTTATCCATCTTAGATCTCAATGGTATAAAAACTGTGCTCGAACCGTATCAAAGAAACGGTTAAGAATTGATCAGTCAACATCGTGAGGCATCGCCGTACCGTTACTAGCCCGAAGAATCAGAAAAATTCTAAAACAGGCGCGATCGTAAAACGAGTAAGGAAGAAGAATCTACCAACTTATCCACCAAGAGGAGCAGGGGAAGTTAAAGAGCATCGATAAAAGCGACAGATGCTACGTAGCTATTACATAGTTAAACGGCGGATTAACTAAGCGTGTAGCTATTAAATGAAATATTGACAAACGAACCGTTTTTTTACGATCCGAAAGTTATAATATTCTCGCCTTAAACCCGTACCTATGCAGTTAACAAAAATAGTATCTTAAAAAAAGAAATTGTTTTCTTAACAAAAAAATAAAATAAAAATTATGACTTCAAGTTCATTTTATCTTGAAAATAACTGTCTTTAAATAAAATGTAAATTGAATGATTGTATTGGATTGAGATAAAAATAAAAACTTACTTGCAAACTGAGCAGAGGCACAGGTGTGTCCATGACCTCGGCCAAGCAAAGCGCGATGGTTAGCACCACGATGAACTGACCATATACGTTCGAGAGGATAACCCATAGTTGAGAACTGTAACAATCACCAAAATAATCAGCAGTCCTCGACAGGGAATCTTCGTCTTCTCGTTTCCAGTGAATTTTGTATTCAAGAAATTAATTGTACGTGTAACGAATTGAGACAAATTAAATTAAGTGAGGAGGAATGAACAAATGATCTTACAAGGATGCAGAATGATCCAGAAGGTCGTTCGAGGAGCGTGTCCTAGAGAGGATCCTGGAGATTAGAGACCTCGATGGTGCTCGTCTGGTTGCCTCAGAGGCCGGTAGCTCGGTCTCGTTTCTTTCACCCCTGCTAGGGGTTCCCCCGGGTGCACCCTCCACGGTGCCACCCGTTGTGCTTCCCGTCTCGTTTAGGCTATCCTTATCATGCTGTTCATTGCTGGCTAGATTAATTACGAACACAGAATGTATAATTAACTAGTTACAAGAGAATCACAAATACATGACATATGTTAGATTGACTAAATTGTTTCAATCTCTTCCTAAAGAATTTAATTACTTCTAATGAAATAACTATTTAGTGAGTCAAGTCTTCCATATTATGTAAAGTTTTCATATAATTGCATATATTAATTTCAAGAAGATAAAATTAAGTAGGTAAAATATCTTGAAAATATTCAGAAGACTGTACATTTCATAAAGTATCTATATTTGGATGAAGACTAAATTAAATTCATTCAGTTCAATATGTGTATCGTCACAAATGAATTCCAGGAAAGACGCGCCAAATGTATCCACTCTGATATTTTGGGTCAGTGGAGTAACACGGATAACTTTCGCTGGAAGAATTCGTACATCTGTTATTTCAGTAGTTTCAACTCGAATGATTTAAAATTTAAAGGCTGTTTAAGAGCGTCACGAAACGAATCGGTGATAAGTTAAAAGAATGGTCGATCGGTTTCGATTCGGTGCTCGTTGAATTAATTGATGAAAATTGGTAATTCGATCAAAACTTTGTTTAGAAAGGCGATTAGAAATGAAAAGTATAATGAAATCATATATATCAACCGCTGAGAGTAGGAATTAGACGAGCGATTAAACCCAGCGAGCAACTATGAAATTGGTAAGACAGCATTCATTTCTTCGAAAGTCGTATCGTACATCTTCCAATAATAATTGTGCACGTTCTGCGTACAGTCCCGTTCACAAGTCACTGGACAGTTAATAAGACCTAAGAATCCAAAATAAATTTCACTTGTGATAGATATAACTTCTTATTTATCAATATCTTTATATAATGAATAAAATACTTTTATTGACATTCATTTGAAATCATGTAATGCAATAAGTGAAAATGAAATGATAGATTGATAAGCGCTCAATAAAAAATGATTGATTATTTTAAATTCAACTACTATTCTTATTGATTTATTTTATGTATCAATCAATTAAAATTTCGAAGTAATGTAATTTTTTGGCAATACTGATAGTTGGTAGAGTCAGAGAGAGAGATTAAGTCTGATAGAAAGTAGATGAGTTGTGATACAATTATACAACATTCATTATTAAATTTTTTTATTGGAAGTAAGGGATTATTTTGTCTAGACTCTTCATCAACTTATCGACAACACTGTACATATATGTACGTATCTATTAAGTGTAGAAGGAGAACAATTCTTTTTCACGTTCCATCTTTTTGTACCTACTATTAACCGCCTACTACTCACTACTGTATCTGAACGTTCTCAAGATGATTTAAGTCATGGGTAATTAACGAGTCTGCGCCACCGTGTAATTAATTCCAAGGAAAATTGAACATCTCTCTTTCCCTCGATAGGCCGCTACAAGTTCAAAGAATTTCGAATCATATTCTGTCACTTATTACGAATTATAACTATTTTTCTAATTTCATCCGCTGATCGAAATCAATTGTTTTATTTCAATTGAATGTCAACCCATTATAGAAGTAAGACAAAAAAAAGAAGAGTTTTTAAGCAAAGATCAAGATGCAATTGTCCAGTTCTTGATGCATCAAGAGAAAAGCAATATAATATAGGGAAAGTAAAGCTTCGAAGCCAAGGGATCCTACTTACAGGTTTAAAATGCGAAGTAACGAAATTATTGAAAAATCCAAAGACTATCTGAACAGTCAAGATAAAAGTTAGGAATAATATTTTTATTGTTTAATTTAATCTAGTTTTTTTATAATAAATGTTGCGTTCTATATTTATTTTCTTTTGCTACTATTATTATGGGATAGAGGTAGTAAAATATTCTAAAATTGAAAACTCTTTTTCTAAATGATAATATCTGATCCATAACAATAAATAACTGTAAGTATATTAGTAAAGTGGGACTAAATAAATCACAAAGAACACAAGAAAACTTATCAAACCTTTACCATCATTTGTAACAAATGAACACACGCGTTTACACATATCACTGATCTCTATATACACATAATCACTAAACGCGTAGGCTGGCGACCGGTTTTAGCACATTGTGTGATAAGCATCTTCTCAAGATGTTCCGTTAGTTCGAGGAATACGCTTATTATTAATATTACTCTTTGTGCCTAGCGGAGGTTCAAGCAGAAAATCAATAGCATCGCCGATAAATCTCGAGGATGAATTCGCGATTATGCTAGGTCCGGTGCAAAGGTCAGAGTTCGACATCCAACGATCATTTTAGTTTGAATTCCATATTGATGGGGGCCAAGAGGAATACGAGAGATTTCCATGACAGATAAAACGCAACAGTATGTCTGCTGCTGAAGATATTTACAAAATTCCACGCATAGTAGAAAAATGACCAAACTGCAAAGTCAAACTATTTTAGAAAAGATAATATTTCAATTTTTGTTCCCCAAATAACTATTTTTCTAATTTCATCCGCTGATCGAAATCAATTGTTTTATTTCAATTGAATGTCAACCCATTATAGAAGTAAGACAAAAAAAAGAAGAGTTTTTAAGCAAAGATCAAGATGCAATTGTCCAGTTCTTGATGCATCAAGAGAAAAGCAATATAATATAGGGAAAGTAAAGCTTCGAAGCCAAGGGATCCTACTTACAGGTTTAAAATGCGAAGTAACGAAATTATTGAAAAATCCAGAAACTATCTGAACAGTCAAGATAAAAGTTAGGAATAATATTTTTATTGTTTAATTTAATCTAGTTTTTTTATAATAAATGTTGCGTTCTATATTTATTTTCTTTTGCTACTATTATTATGGGATAGAGGTAGTAAAATATTCTAAAATTGAAAACTCTTTTTCTAAATGATAATATCTGATCCATAACAATAAATAACTGTAAGTATATTAGTAAAGTGGGACTAAATAAATCACAAAGAACACAAGAAAACTTATCAAACCTTTACCATCATTTGTAACAAATGAACACACGCGTTTACACATATCACTGATCTCTATATACACATAATCACTAAACGCGTAGGCTGGCGACCGGTTTTAGCACATTGTGTGATAAGCATCTTCTCAAGATGTTCCGTTAGTTCGAGGAATACGCTTATTATTAATATTACTCTTTGTGCCTAGCGGAGGTTCAAGCAGAAAATCAATAGCATCGCCGATAAATCTCGAGGATGAATTCGCGATTATGCTAGGTCCGGTGCAAAGGTCAGAGTTCGACATCCAACGATCATTTTAGTTTGAATTCCATATTGATGGGGGCCAAGAGGAATACGAGAGATTTCCATGACAGATAAAACGCAACAGTATGTCTGCTGCTGAAGATATTTACAAAATTCCACGCATAGTAGAAAAATGACCAAACTGCAAAGTCAAACTATTTTAGAAAAGATAATATTTCAATTTTTGTTCCCCAAATAAAATAAGAAAGAACGTCACTCAAAGGCTAAAATACACTTCGAGGACAATAAATTCCGAAGATTCTTTAAATATAATACTATAACTGGATTTGTATTGTGTATGGAGTATAAATTGTCTCTCTACAGTCTATAACTAATTTCTGTAAAACATGTAGTTGATCTATTTGACTTTTGCGTGGCTGGAACGCGTGCGATAATTAATGGCAGCCGGATTAGGGGGAACGATACACTTGGCGGGCTTGAGTTATGGTCGAATAATGTAGTCAAGGAAACATGTAAACGTGCTTAAGATATGCAGAGATATTCTAAAAAGCGTATCGTTTGAACAGCAACGGTAGCTGTATGCAGTAATGAGTGAAGTACTTGCTTTAATGTGTTTAACATTTCCGTCTATAAAATGCATCTAGGAAACTCATTTGTAACTGGAGAATGCATCAAAACACGCAATCGGCATTTTAATAATGAAAGTTATAGATAGAATATATATTGCTAATTATACTTGACTCCACATATTTATATTTGATTAATTAATTTTTCTCTTATGAGAGTAATACATAAAATTATCTTTGAAATTTATGACTTCCACCGCGCGTTTATAATAATTTTTGTTAGGTTTATGATCTTCGATATTCATTTTGAAATGAATTGCGAAACTTTGTGGAAATCAGGTAAAAACTCGGAGATTTAAGAGCTTGCAGTTTGCCGAGCATCTGCTTCGTTACATCCTCTGAGTTACAAAAAACAGAAACAGCTGGCAAAAGAATTCGAGAAACTAATTTTCTTCCTAATGCGTGAAAGCAAAAACACAGACTTCTCAGAAACTTTATTTACCCACCGTAAATCACATACTCAGTGAAACGTATTATAAATTGCTTCCGATACACGTTTAGGAGCATCTTTCTAGATAATAGCCGGTTCATTGATAAATCATTCTTATATTTGAATATTGGATATAATAAAACAACTGTCTGTTAAAACTGAATTGCTTACGACAGGTGTTTATTAACAAGCATCTCATAAATAATGATTGATTCACTGATTAATCATGCGAGTATTCGACATAATATCCGTGTTAAAGATTGTATAGTAATTTAAGATCACATAACAGGTTAAACGGTATATTAGTTCCATCATCTGTTCCACAACGTGAAGGAATTTACCTCAGAGATTTCGTCAAAAGAAACCAATCGCCGTTACGAACATGTTCGAATCATCGTCCATGGCGAAGCAATGGCGAACCGAGGCAGAAGCGCGTCGCACGATTTTCAACGGAACGGCAAGGGCGAAGTGCTCCAGACACTATCGCGAGACAGAATGTCGGGTAACCCAGAAGTGTACATCGAGAGAACGCATCGAATGGTCTGGGACACGAAAGTGCCCAGCGGTGATGGTAGTGGTGGTGATGGTGATGCTGACCAGGACGATGACGAGAACCAGCACGATTATGTCGATGATGATGATAATGAAGATGGTCGCGATGATGATCGTGTCGTTTCTCGTAACCCCGTTTTCAACGCGAAGAGATAAGTACACAGTCAATACACGTAGCTTAACGTGTCGCTTAGCTTTTACAATAGCAGAGGATATTCGAG